AAAAGAATGTACAACACTGCTTATGCCCAACAATATTTGTGAAAATTACAACAATTTCTGAATAAATTATTGAATACATTTATTTATATTAAGGAAATGTAATTGGGAAAAATGTATTGAACACCCTGAGAATGAAATTTCAACAAGTGAAGGCTAAATAACTATACCCTTCCACAACACTAGTTCTAATAAAATGAATTATGCATAATACTGGTAAAATTGTACAGCATGTACTTGAAGCCTGACATTAATTGTCTTGAAATATATTGAAGGAGTGAATTTGTTACGGAAGAGAGCACTTTAATAACTTTAATGGCAGTGATTTAAATTAGTTTCATACTGAGATATAATCTTGTAATCCTTTTAATAAACCCTTTATCACCTTGCAGTAATTTGCTTGCACAGCATTTTCTTTTCTGTGGTTTTAGAGACTGTCAATCAGTGTAGACCTGCAATTAATTGTGTAAAACTCACTACTGTATGTGCTAAGCTTCATAAGAACGAAAAAAGAAAGTCATCTTCACTAATCAACATTGTCTTATTAGCTGTTTCAATGACTGTCCCATCCCATCCCTACTTTAAAAGTTGTGTGTGCATGCCTATATCTTGCTGGTGGATTTTGTAGTGTGTGACAAAGCTTAATAGTGTTTTCAGTCATGGATCCCAGCATGCTGTACGTCACCCTGCTTTGAGGCAGATTGTATTCTAGCACCTAATGGATATTAAACCTGAGCTCCCTCACACACAGGCTGTCTTTCTTTTTTTTCTTTCTCTGTCCCTCATTTACCATGTCACACTATCCGTTCGCCAATGACATCACCAGACCACAGCCCAGTTCTCCAATCACCGTGTCATCAATCCGTCGTCCCACAGCTTTGACCGGTCAGACCGCAGCACTGACAGATCTGGCCTCACTTGAGAAGTCAGAGGTGAAGGCATTTATGGCACGCAATGTGATTCACCATGTAAACGGCCATTGCCCTTATTTTAAGCACATTATTTGTTGAGTACACACAAAAGCATTATTATACGTAGAGATTATACTTCTCATGTCATAGATGCCTGATAGCACATATTGTTACTTATTTGTCATCATAGATTTAGTGATTTAATCATACGTGACACGGAGATAAATAGGATTATTAATCTTTTATATGTATTAAGGCTGATTTGTCTTAATTTTTATGCAAGTAAAATGCAGTTTACTGTACTAATGCACTAATTTTGCTGCAGTTTTTATATTTTTATTTTACATTTTCTACAGTTCTACAACATTAGTACCACTTATACAGTTATTTCAATCAAGTAAAAATACAGAATTTAGATTTCTTTGTTTATTGTTGTTTACAAAACATTGATTTTAGCTTTACACCAGGGATCACCAAACTTGTTCCTGGAGGTCCGGTGTCCTGCAGATTTTACCTCCAACCCTTATCAAACACACCTGAACAAGCTAATCAAGGTCTTACTAGGTATACAGTACGTGAAACACAGGCAGGTGTGTTGGGGCAAGTTGGAGTTAAACCCTGCAGGGCACCTGACATCCAGGAACAAGATTGGTGACCCCTGCTTTACACTTTATTAGGTGCACCTTACTTGTAGCAGGTTGGACCACCTTCAGAGCTGCCTTGTACTGGAAATATTCCTTTTGGTTCATATTGACATGATAGCATCACACAGTTAATGCAGATTTGTTGTGGTGGAATCTCCCATTTTTCCACATTTCAAAGGTGCTCTATTGGATTGAGAACTGATGACTGTGGAGGCCATTTGTGTACAGTGAACTCATTGTCATGTTCAAGAAACCAGTCTGAGATCATTTATGCTTTATGGCATGGTGCGTTATCCTGCTGGAAGTAGCCATCAGAAGATGAGTATTTAAAGGGATGAGTCGTAAAGAGATGGGCATGGTCAACAACATTACTCAGGTAGGCTGTGGCGTTGACACGATGCTCAATGGGCCCAAAGTGTGCCAAGAAAATATCCCCCACACCATTACACCACCAGCTTGAATCATTGATACAAGGCATGATTGATCCATGCTTTCATGTTGTTGATGCCAAATTTTGAACCTAGCATCCGAATGTCGCAGCAGAAATCGAGACTCATTAGACCAGGCATTGTTTTTCTAATCTTCTATCGTCCAATTTTTGTGAACATGTACGAATTGTAGCCTCAGTTTCCTGTTCTTAGATGACCGGAGTGGCACCCTGCATGGTCTTCTGCTGCTTTAGCTCATCCGCCGCAAGGTGAAGTTGCTGCCAAGTGATTGGCTGATAAGAAATTGAATAAGAAACCTAATAAAGTGGCCAGTGAGTGTATGCAAATTGTTAAAAAGTTTGATAGTTTTTGTTTTAAATTCAGTATTAATTTTAGTTAAAAATAGCAACACCGTATTAATTTTAAAATGTTAGATGTTTAAAGAACAAAATAAGGGTGTTGTTTAAGTGTAACAAGATCAAAGTATTTTCAAATAATACGTTTAAAAAATGGTAAACAGAATAGGCAATAGATAAAAGAGTGTAAGTATTATGAACATGTTTTTTATATATATTTAATAAATGTATAATTGTAAAAGAAGAGAAAGAGCAGAGTATTTGTATTTATATAAACAGACTGGAAAGTTGAGTTTAAAAAACTTTAGTCAGTCAGATTTGTTCCCAAAGCAAATGTCCCACCTTAAACACACACATAAACTTTATTGGCATAACACATTTGACCTTAGAGTTATGTAACAACCCTTGACCCTTGAGTGTGACGGCCTGTCTGTGTTTCAGTGGGACAGATTCCAGGCATTTCTTATGGGTCTGTCAAGGTGCAACAGTCAACACATTCTTTTGACTGTTAACTGCTTCACATGTGAATTTTATATAGAAGTTATTTGTGAACTCTGTTGTTGATATAGAGTGTATGCAAATATATATACAAGTAAATTGTGACTTGAAATGAGATTTTAGTAAGGCTCTATATATTGGCATTGTACCATAATTGCACAATGACATTTCCCAAGAATAAGTATAACATAACAACAGAAATAGAAACAGCAAAACAGAAATTAAAGTGAGTTTCAAATTTAAGGCTCAGTATACATTATAAAGTTTTATATATATATATATATATATATATATATATATATATATATATATATATATATATTTATTTATTTATTTATTTATTTATTTTATTTTTTTTAAATACATAAACGTATTATGTTTAGTGTATTTTAAAAACAACAGCAAAGAAGTGTAGCTTAACCAAGCTTTATTTACATGCGCACCATTTCTTATACAAACTAGATTACAATTCAAAATGGAGTACACGGGAAAAATACTCACAAACATCTAGTATCGAAGTTGTATGACTATAAGATAAGAGGTAAAAGAGCAAAGGTAATAAGCAGAAGGAGGTGAAGGAGGAACGCTACGATCAGGGTGGTAAAATGTTGAAAATAGTGGTATTTGTAGATTATCACACTGAAACCTGTAATGTTTGAGAAGGCTCAACTAGTGATTGGGAAGATGGTTACCTGTGTGAATCATCTGTAAAAAAACAAACATTTTCTAGGGAAAGGGGTGTAAAAATACATGCAAGGCAGTTTTTGAGACCGTAGGTGAAGGTGTAAGTCTTATACGGGTGATTTTTCAATTCATTGCACACCGGATATCATCAGCTACAATGTGAGTGACTTTGAAAAACGAATATGGTGAAGGCAGAACCATGGTGTGGGTAATGGAATAATGGAGTAAAGCAGGTGTGTCAAATGCACTGTAACAATTATGCTAAAATATTAGCATTTTTTGATAAATAAACACTTACATTTGTGTTGTTTCATCATCTTCTTGATTATTGCTTTGTTTTCTTGTGACATAATAATTCCTAATTATTATTAGGGATGTCCAGATCCAACCAGTATGTATGTATGTATATATATATATATATATATATATATATATATATATATATATATATATATATATATATATATATATATATATATATATATATATATACATACACACTCATTATTTTTTAACACATGTAAAGTTATGCGGTGGCACAAAATTAAACCTCTTTATTGACCTCACACAGAAACAGCAACGTGTGCAGCCTGACATCACTTTATTGCAGAGATGCTATTGGTTAAATGCCAGCAAAATAGAACACATAAGCAGCTTGAAGCGAGTTTGTCTGTGGTCTGGAGGTATAATAAAGTTGAAATAGCAAACTGTGAGATATGTAAACTTTGAATTGCCTGCCGGATATTTTAAGTTGAGGTGCTATTTGTTTTTAAATTAGATTTTTTTTTATATTTACTGTTGCACTACACTCTAAAAAACACAGGGCTAAAAATTACCTAAATTGGGTTATTATTTTTAGCCCCATTAATGATTTTTTTTTCTACCCAATAATTGGTTATTTTTACTTAAATAATAGGTTAATTTGATCCAAAAATGCCCGCGAAACATGACCCAGCAATTATGCTGTTTTGACTTGGTGTCACTGAAGTACGGTGGGGGATGTGCAGCTTTGATCACAGGTATACAAAACGTGGTAGTAAGAAATTTTAAAACTCAGAAAGGTCTGACTAAAGGCTGCTATGAGCATAAATCTCATTTTAATCATCCAAGAATGCAAGGAATCTGTGTTTATGTTACACTATTTTCATTGCAATTAAACAAATTAGTGTATAATATGTGGTATCCCAGTCAGCCCCTGCTGTGAGTTGATTTGACTCAAAGATCTGGGTTGAAAATACCCAAGACTTTGAAAATAACCCTGAAAAATTACCCAAAATGCCTCAACCCAAGATTTGGGAAGAAAAAATAACCCCATGTTTTTTAGAGTGTATAAAAGTGAGAAATGATGTTATTTATTACTTGATTGTTCAAGCTACTTCACAGAAGAGTTGTTGAATGCTAAAATGAGGTGAGTTAAATAAAAAAATAAGTAACATCCTGGATCTGTTTCTTCGCTCTTTATTCTTTTTTTTTTTTTTTTTTAAGTATTATAGAAGTAGCGGATCAGGTTTCGGTATCAGTAGATACTTAAAATCAAATGACTCCAGGAGAAAAAAAAACTGATCAGGACATCCCTACTAATTACCAAATCTGCAGCAAACTGGGGCTTGAAAGACTCTACTATTAGCACATTATTAGCTATTAAAGCAGACTAAAAGTATGGTAAACATAGATTTTGACACTTCTGCTATAAACCATGTCCAACTCCCCATGTAACAATTCCACTATTTTGTTCATGTGCATGGCCTTTGAAAGATACAGTTGTATTATCACTACATTTCATAAGTATAGCTGTATGTATACATATATATGCATTGCACACGATGCATATGTACATTTACATGCATGCATACAAAGATGGACGTACTGTATGCAGTGAACGGTAGCTCTCTCTGAGAGACGGAAACACAAAACATCAGGATTTGTACATATTTTGTGGTAACAGTTGAGCACAATGGAACAAACAGAAAGAAGTTTAATAAAGTGACAACCCCCATGAAGACATCAATAAACTGACAACAACACAGGATGGATTCCTGTTGCTTTATCTCCTTACTTTAGAAGACTGTTGTTCATGTACGTATGTTCATAAAACATTTCTGAAATCGCATACAGCCAGGTTGCAGTTAATTCAAGATGAGGCCCTGATGTTTTAAAATGGAGACCCCACTCTCCCCTGAGCAATAGTGATGCATTTTGCATACGGAGACCCAAATGTCCCCGGATTTCACTGTGTGTTTGTGATTTTGGCTGCCAGCATCTCCTATACGTTTTCAAGTAATTTGGCAAATATACAAAAGATAGCTTATTGTTTTTGCTCAGTAAAGATGGCTTTCAGAGGAAAGGCTCATCCACCATTGAATGCTGCCATGATGCTAATTGCTAATGCTAATCGATTATGCTAGTCCTCGTGGCCAGGGAAACACAAATGGCCTTTAATAAAGGACAGGGCTCAACACTGATCATTTAGCACCTGGTATGGCATGGAAATGTCCACGATGCAAGTTAATATTTATTTATTCATTACATTTGGCTACATTTAAATGTGAGAAGTCCGAACATAGCTTTGCTGGCTAAATAAGACGCCTCCACCTGCTATAAGCTTTCAGTTTTACCACTTTTTTGTACAGTTACAGACAGTAAACACAAATGAATTACTCCTTATATGATTATATTCAATCACAAAAAATGCATTACTTCATTATTATTATGAGGCAACTATAATTCAGATTGGGAACTAACTACTTTATGGTAACAGTGAATTAAAAATGAAAGCATTGAATGAAGTGCACTGTGTCAAGCTACATTACTCCACCTGAGCTCTGAAATTTTTCAGGTTAACTCTTCGCTTCTTATGTTGATCAGTGACTACAGAGTTAGTGCTTAGAGAGTGACACAAGTAGCCGATCATTTAACAAATAAAGTTAGGAAAAACAGAGAGAGAGAGAGAGACCCCAGCCATGGAAACTACTGTATGTTTATGACAGAAAAGCTACAACAGGCCTCTTTAAACGAAATTTTCAGATTACTTCACCTCTAACAAAAGGGATCATTTCAAACATTGCATAATGTGGCATTAATAATCTGAGTTCACTGTTAGTTTGAGTGTTTCTTCCACTGGGCAGTCTTTCGTTATAGTCTGGGTCTGCTGAACTGAAGGTAAACATCATCAGGGATGTTGTAGTCAGATGGACCTGTAAACAGGCATATCATCCAGTGCTTGCCGCAGACAGCAAACTTGGCAAAGGATACTTCAAGTCTGTTGGATGTTTGTTTATTTTTTGTGCAGGATTTTTTGTAGTTGTTATTCGGTTATTTGTTGTTTTCTTTGATGAGCTGAGCCTAGACAGACAGAAAGACAATTACGTATTGCTCTGTTTTAAATAATTGTTATAAGAAAAACAAAATGCATCCTGTACTGAAGCTTAGATCTTGCTAGGAAGCTTGACTTCTAAGACATTAAGAAGAAAAATATACATCTCAGAACTTCAGGTTTTCCCCATTTCACTATTCTGTGAATGGCTACTCAAAATGGTAATTTCCTGAAGTAATATCTGTACAGTGGCCCCTCGGCATAACACGGTTCACCGTTCGCGGTCTCGCAGTTTGTTTTTATTTACAGCACATTGTCTCCTGCTCCCTGATTAGCGCATTGTGTTCTGCGTCTTGATTGGCTGTAAGTTATTGTCAATCAATCTCCTCCCTGCTGTGTTTCCTGTACATTACAAATTGCGTTCAGCTTGCTAAATTGACATAAATCTTCGATTGCTAGCAGTGTGAGTTTGAATTGCTATACTGCATGTACTGCAAGTTTTCTCCCTAACAAACCCCATAGCGTCGATGAAACATTCTGCACCGTCAAAAGCACCCAAAAGGCAGAGGAAGATGCTAACCATTTCACAAAAAGTTGGACTTCTGGACATGCTAAAGGAAGGTAGAATTTATGTGAGTGTTTAAACAAGAGACAAGTGTGAAAATGTTTATACCTATTTGATAAAATATTGTAGTGAGGGGTTTTTACAGCCTTAAAACCTCTATAATAATTGTAAAAAATAAGCGTATCGAAAAGTAATCAAAATCTAAATTCAGAACCTATAATCAAACTTTTCCAGATCAGTTTTTTCAATTGCTTTCCCTACCGCGTGTGGAATCACGTGACCACACTTTGTTTACACTTCTGTGTTGAGTGCAGCGTATGGTCTGGTGTAGCCTTCACGTGTTCACATACTTCTCGCTGTGACTGATGCCGATAGTGACCTCTCAAAAAACGTATCTACACGTTGCAACGATGCATAGCGCAAGCTCTGTGATTGCTCAGCTTGGTGGCGTTGACGAGTGTAGGTGGCGTGGTGAGGGCAAAAAATAATTAAATAAAAGAATTGTTTATTAATTGTGATCGAGTTAAAATGTTCAATTAATCGAGATTTTGATCAAATCGCCCAGCCCTATTGCGGGCTATTCTTAGAACGTAACACGATTAACGAGGGACCACTGTATAGCTAACCAACATCTTGCTACATTGAAAAACGAGTTTCTCTGTTACATAGAAATCTATATTTATATGTTGTATATCAGCTCACCTGAGCAATTCCCATCAGCCTGGCACCCAACTATGATTGGACTGCTTTGTTCCAGTGAAGTTTCCCACAGGATTCAGACTAACAGCATTTTGCATTAAAGCATCAAAGTTAAAATCCAGTCCATCGGAGTCCATTAGTTCTGAGCGGATTATGGAATCCACGTCACAATCCAGACTGCCGTTAAAGATGTCAAGGTCCAAGTCTGAGGGAAATCGATCTGTTCCTGAAGGGTGACAGATTCCAAGCCCATTACTTCCATTCATGCCAGTGTAAAGCGGCGTCTCGGTCATCAGCATGGTGGGCTGTGGCTGGAGGAGCTGCTTTGCTGAGACTAGATTATTGGCATCGTTAACTAAACTTTGCGCTCTGTTGTTGGAGAGGGAACGCAAAGATCCCTGGCCATTAGACCCCTGATGGTGTTGCTTGTTCTGTAGGTGCCCGCTTCGCCCATTGAGCACAGAACTGAATGAAGACATCATGGGATCATTACGAAGCATAGGATTATTGCGTAGACGGTAGTTTTGAGAGGTGACTGCAGCACTGGCCTGTGATATAAGTGGGTCTGACTGCGTCATCATTACATCACTATGACTGTGAGAGACCAGCGAATCAGAATTCAGCAGGTCCTGAAGTGAGGTCTCAAAACAAGAAATGCTGGAGAACGATGTTTGCTTGTTTTCCTGAATGGTCTGCATGGGTTTCTGACGGAGGCTTCCCGGCGAAGGGCCAAAAATGGGGTTGCTGAATCCTCCAGTGTTGTTGCTCACAGTTTGAGATGTAGAGGTGCTTGGGGGTGACGCAGTGCTCTTAGAGCCAAAACTGAAAGGAGAGGATTCTTGAACTACCTGCACCTGTGTGGCGATGTTGTCTAACAAATCGACCATTAGGTTGTCCGCCTCATTAAGATTCATTGTGCCAGTCAGGTCAGCAAGTACTGGGAGTTCACCCGGGCACGTTTTGGAGTTTGATGAGGTTGACGATGGAGGAGAGAGGCTGCTGGGGCTGGAGTAAAGAATTGGAGACAGGGGTGGCCCGTCTGAGACATCATCAAGCTCTGGATTGGCCAGGATAGGTGACAGGCGTCCACTCACGGTGCTAGCATTGGAGTTGGTTCGAGAACGGAAGTCAGTCCAGCACGATTCCTGTTCATCACTGCTCCGGGAAGTGGGGCTTCCTGGCCACTTGGACAGGCCACCAGCAGATATGTTCTCCAGTGAACCCTCCTGGGCAGCCTGCAGCGCTGCCTTTTTCTTGGCCGCACGCCCACGTGCAGTCTTGGTGTATTTGTTACCATTGTCCATGGAGACTGCACGTCGCCTTGGCGCTTTACCTCCCCGCCCCCCTTCAGGATTGATCATCCACCACGAGCTCTTTCCAGTTCCTTCATTCTGTACACGGATAAAACGGCTATGCAGGGACAGGTTATGCCGGATGGAGTTCTAGAAAAAGAGAGCAAAGAAAACAGGCCATTAAGAATCTACCCACTGCATGATTCAGAATGAATTCACTGTGTAATTAAAACTTTTGTTTTGTTCAGTGAACTACTGAGCAATATATATATCAAATATATATATATATATATATATATATATATATATATATATATATATATATATATATATATATATATTTGCTAAATATTTAAATATAAAACTATTTTAATGAGCACATTTTTAAGCTGAAGTACCCAAGATACCTGTGTGTGTGTGTGTGTGTGTGTGTGTGTGTTAAGTTATGACGAGCGATACCACGGATACCGGTGTTTACAGTGCTAAGTCTCTCTAGAGATTAATGACATAATGTTTGTGTGCGAGGGAAAACACACGGAAGGGTATTACCAAAACCTCAATGGAGCTGCATGTTGTGAATGAAGTCATTAAAAGTAATTCATTTTCTTCCCCCTCTTACTTAGCAGCTTCTAAACAAACTAGCGGCGCTGCCACCGAAAACAAACTTTACACAGCACAATTTCTTTTTTCTTTCCATGCATACACCTCCCTTTCTTCAACCTTTCCTTGTTGTGTAATCCAGTTCTAGGTAAAGCCCTCAGGAGAAACCCTTAATAAGTGTTTATTGAGTGTCTGTGTGTATGTGTGTGTGTTTTGATTGTCAGAGTATCAGTGTCTTTGTGGTTGTTAACGCTTTACAGAGCTGACTCATACAACCTCCAGTGCCCTTGTGCAACTATTAAATGAAGTATATGGCATGCAAAAGTTATGGATTTTAGATTTATGCGTCTTGCTCAAACAGAACCACGGTAGTTTCAATAAAACTCTATGCAAACAAACTATATGAGATGTAGAAATGTAGTGCACACACCCTGTAAACCTTATAATTATGCTCTCAGGCAGAAAACACATCCCCACACTTTCCTTAATCTGCAAAGTTCATCCTTTCAGCCTCAAACTAATGGGACACTAACAATTTTTCGCTTTTTAATGCAAAAAAAGTTAGTGTTCACCTGTTGTTTTTACGCTTAACCTGTTTTGTGTAAATGCCTAGTGTGTTTGATTTCTCTGCACGTGTGTGTGTGTGCATTTGTGTGTTTGGGGAGGCTGTTAACTGAGCGCCCAGCTGCACACTGAATCTCTCTGGAACACAGAGACCTTTTTGTCCGTCAGCAACATGTGGTAACAATCCATCAATGTCAGCAGCCACGCAATGCACACACACGCAACTACAGCTTCGCTCACATTCTTCTTCAGGGAGATGTGTTTTGGTTATCTGCTACTCTCTGTGAAAGTTATTGCATTCTAGCTGGTAATTTTTTTTGTGATGTCAGGAAACCAGTGACTATACAAATCTGTAACCAGCAGGTTATTGCCCACAAATCAGCCAAACCAAAACCACAGTGAATTTAATCTGCCAACATTTACGCAAGAGAAAATTATGTTGATAAAGGGGAACTTTTTAAATATGGACATAATATAACTTTAGGGTTGTTGTAATTTTGCTGTTTAGGCTAAGGCTAGGCAACATCTAAAATAATTAAATGAATAAATAAATAAATAGTCGAGTATAAAAGGAAGACGACAGATCAGAATAGACTGATATAGGCTAGATTTTAGTTTAGTTACTTTTAAAAATACGATATACTTCATTATGTACTGTGTGTATGCAATACAAATGCCACATGAGAGGTGTCACGATCACCAGCTGGACTACAATTCTGTCATTTTATGAACTACATATCCTGTCATACACCTCACACACTCCTGTTTCAGGATCTCCGATGATTATACACACAGCTGGTAGCTGATCAAAGACTAATTACATGGACTATTTATACAGCGCACATTCCCTCACACTTTGCTGAGTCTTGTTTTATTGTAACATTACGAAGTGTTCTCTGTGTGTCTTGTCTTTTCGTGTTTCTTGATCCTAGCCTTGTTTCCTTGTTTATGTTATTGCTGCCTGTATTGACCTTAATGCCTGTGACTTGACTATGCTTCTGGATTGTACCTGTTGAGCGTTGCCTGGCCTGTCCATTCTCTAAATCTAAAACTTCACATAGATCCTCACTCCATTGTTACCCCAACTCCCCAAGCAAATCATAGAATACGACTTGTCGACTCTATCGACATCATTTTTACTTATGTAATTTAAATTAAAAATTACGTTGATACATGAAGATTATATCACATGTCCTAATGCTTCTCATCTCATGTCAGACAAGATTGTGATACTAATTATACATTGTATTATGGTCAAAGAACGACTTTAATCTTTTTTTTTCAATGACAAGACGTCCCATTATGGGATTGAGTTATATTTTATATGCACAGAAATCATGTTGGGAAAGTTACTTTAGAAAGTAATACATGAAAATAATTACGTTATTTAGTTACTTTTTATGGTAATGCGTTATGTTACTTTTGCGTTACTTTTTTATTACCTGGCTGAGGCTTGACCTTTTTCAGAACTTCTTGGTGCAACTTTCTTTCTTTCTTTCTTTCTTTCTTTTCTTTCTTTCTTTTCTTTCTTTCTTTCTTTCTTTCTTTCTTTTTCTTTTTTTTCTTTCTTTCTTTCTGTCTTTCTGTCTTTCTTTCTTTTTTAATCGTGGAGTTTTGCAATTAACAACACACTATACAACCTACACCTTCATTTACCTTTATACACATAAAAAATAATATTATGGGATAAATTTAGGAGAACTTCCAGAGCTATAACATGTCGTATATACAGATTGATGAAAGTTTAAAGCAAGTTGTTTGTTACTTTTCTACTATTTGTCCAAAGTAAAATCACTGTCCTTTGAGACAATCTCCTTTTTCTTTTGTTTGATGCAATCAAAATAATGAACACATTCTCCCATTGACTGTGTAATTCATTGTGACTACTTTAATGTTTACTCAGCAATTTTTTTAAAAGTAACTCAAATATTATTATTCATTTTTTTTAAAGTAATGCGTTACATTACTTATTACTTAGAAAAGTAATATTGTTACGTAACTCACATTACATGTAATGCGTTACCCCAGCACAGCACAGAAAGCAAGTCAAATGATTAATCTTAAATTTTTAACTTTGGTAAAATGGTTGAAATAATGTTGCATAATCTTTCAGTGTATAAATTTATATAAAAACCCAACATTATACTTATTCTGATCTGTAATAATAAAATATATTAAATAATGAGTGATATTGTATTCTATTTAAAATTATTAAAAGCATATTGCTGACAAACCTTGTAGTCTAAAACTTTTGAAGATTTAAAATAACAATGAAGGAGTATTTTGCTAACGCGCTGTGATCTTAACTTTTTTTGATTTTTTTTTTTCTATATTTTATCAAATAATTCGCATTTTAAATATGTCTGATGACTTTTTAGGATATAGACTATTGTTATAGAGTGACTTTTTAATTGTTTTCTTCTGTAAACCATGACAAACCTTTAATTGTTCAGATGCTTTTTCAGATGTTCAGATGCTTGTTCAGATGCTTATTGCTTTGAACCAATTTTTGTCTATGTTACCCAGCCATTTTAAGGAACAACTGGCATAAATCTGGCATGGGAAAAAGTTCTAAATCACATTCACAAGTTCACATGAGTTACTTTGAAAGCTTGAAACCAACGAAGAGTAGCTAATCTCTTGAGTAGCCTTCTCTTATTGGAGTTCACACACCATGCCACTTAACAAAACACAATACATATCTTCATAAGCACCCATAAAATCCTTCCTTCCCCCTCTTTCTCTTTCCATCATGCACGCGTGCACACACACTCGCACACACTTACTGCAGTAACTAACTCTAGGCAGGGCCATTGTGTGAATACGGGTTTGGCAGCTGAACATTTCAATGCGGTTTACTTTCAATGACATACAGAGTGTGGAGGGCAGTGTGTGTGTGTGTGTGTGTGTGTGTGTGTGTGTGTGTGTGTGTGTGTGTGTGTGTGTGTGTGTGTGTGTGTGTGTGTGTGTGTGTGTGTGTGTGTGTGTGTGTGTGTGTTTGTGTGTGTGTGTGTGTGTTGTGTGTGTGTGCTGTAAAATTGTTGCTTTCCAGAAATCGGCAGAAATAAATCTTTTTTCTTAGCAAAGCCAAGTACTGGGCTTCTAAGTATTTGGTCCGTGTGCTTTTATGTCTGTGACCAAAAGGAAAAGGAAAACATTCAGTGTTTATGTTTTTAGGAATGGTCAGATTGCAGGATGGTTAAACAAAGATAAAACTAGCAAGACAAAAAAGTAAGTTTGAGAAGAATGGGATTTGAGTCTTTCGAAATAAGAAATGAGGCCAGTGTTAATAGTTTTATAGTGAGATTAACAGTTATTTTTCAGTAAGACTTTTTGTTTATTCTAGTATTTTATATAAACACATTCAGACATTTGCAATACATGGTAAAAAAACATTGATGTTACACAATTGTTACACAAAAAACTTTATTTTTGCTGATTTTGAGAAACATAAGATGTTTTTCTCTTTGCAAGATATAATTTCTCTATTATTTTCAAGTTAATTGTTACTAAAATATTTTGTAACTACATTGTTTTTTTACTGCCGTTTTGCTAATCAAAGGTATTATAAATACATAATTAATGATAGATAGATAGATAGATAGATAGATAGATAGATAGATAGATAGATAGATAGATAGATAGATAGATAGATAGATAGATAGATAGATAGATAGATAGATCGATAGATCGATCGATCGATCGATGGATGGATGGATGGATGGATGGATGGATGGATGGTTGGATGGATGGATGGATGGATGGATGGATGGTTGGATGGATGGTTGGATGGATGGATGGATGGATGGATGGATGGATGGATACTGTAAATAGATAGATAATAGATGGATGGATTTATGGATGGATGGATACTGTAGATAGACAGATGATATATGGATGGATGGATATTGGTTTCAAAACCCTGCTGATGAATACATATAATCTGTTATGCCAAAAATGCCAAACTACCCATCAGCATCAGGAAT